CCACTTGACCTCTTCTCCAACCACTGTTCCTTTTACTCCTTTTTCTCCTCACTTACTTGCAGGCCTGCTAACATTTACTTAAGGCATTTACCTGGCCATTAGTGGAGAGTTTAAAAGTGTCACAGGACTTAGATAAATTCACTTTTAAACATTTGCTTGGCTCCTTCACAGCCCTATTCTTGCAATGTGCATTCATTCATCCTGTTTGGCCAATTAGGCTCACTAAATTCCTCTGTAAATTCAGTCCTCTCTTGCTCCCGCCGCTTCCTGGTCAGACTTCTAATATATCCACAGTTACCACTTTTTCCAAAGGCTTAGGTACAAAAGTGAATAATCCGCATGTATCGGTGCTCCAGGCAAGTCTGGTCCCTGTCTGTGCTTTGCTCCAGTTATGGGCAGCACTCGAAAAGTACTGGATTCATGTCCACACAACCACAATATTATGATGCTGACGAGGAAGATGAGAGAGCATTCGGTAAAATCATTTCACAACGAGCAACATCTTTTTCTCTTCTCTTTTTAAATAAAATCTGCTAATTAGTTGTTTATTCTTCCTGTTTATGGCACTTACTCAAAAGGTTACATCAATTTAACTCCTTCCATAATTGGGTGCCGATGAGCTCCTAATCTCAGGGTCAGCATCAATTTATTTCAACCAACAACTACGAGTGCTTAAAATACCAAGTCCGCTGCCGGTGCTACTGACACATGCAATCCATTCTCAAATGACTTGCAAAAGGGAAAAAGCTAAAAAGCACTAAAAGTGCAGACAGTCTTTATTACAGCAACTTCAGAAACTCTTTCGTTATACAAGTTATGTTTTGTTTTTCAGAAGCAAGTGACAAGATCTAAATACAGAGCACAGCAGTACACACTGTCTGATTCCGTGTTGTTTTGCGAACTCCTCTCTCTGTTGTTTTCCTCTTTCTGTTTTTGCGAACATCAGCAGAAAGCTCTCCCTGAGGATGCACAATAAAAGGAAAGAAGGGGGGAAAAAATGCTTAATTAGGAGTTTCACGTCCAGCCTTTCCAGCTTGAAGGAGCCAACGTTTCCAGTGACTCCTTTGCGTCATAATGGTCAAAGGAGCAGGGTGACTAAAGAAAAGCAAGCAGCAAAAGGCCGAGCTAAGAAAGCACAAACACTTCCAAACAAACTTATTTGAAGTCTCTTTGAAGTGAAATGCACAGGAGTGGGTGGGTGGGCGGGGGGAATAATACAATTTACATTCTGTTTCATGAATACCACAAATGTGAAGTACATGGGGTCCCCCTCCGCCTCATTCCTCTCTGAGATATTAAATATTGCTGACTAGGGGGTAAGTTGGCCAATTAATGAATAATAAATGGGGCAGGAATGCAACATTTTCATATCCTTTATAGGTCAGAGTGTGCTGAGCCAGGGCTGCTGGTACCGCCGGGCATCGCGGTTAGATATTAAAGCACGGCAATCTCTATACAACTGTACCTCAGAGCCATGTCAACTGCTGCCGCTCCACCCACACTACACGCAACATTAACGACGAGCTGAGAGGGCATAATAAAAGTTTGCGCGTTCCTCTTCCTGCAACTTCTGCCCATCCCTCTCGCGATGTTTTTTCCGCTTTTATCACTGCTCGTTAATCTTCACTCGATCATCCACTCCCTCTTTGTGCACAGCGTAAAGGCAGTATTTCTTTTTTCTTTTTTCTTTTTTTGAAGTCTGAGACAACATCCTGTTAGTTTTAGTCCATATCTTCTTGTGCTACATAAGCAGGCTCGCGGGCACCGATGACGGGGAAAAACAATGCACGGCGCAGTGGCGCAAACAAAAACAACAACAATGGGGCAATTACGGACTGATGCTTCACAACCTCCACTTCATTCTCTGTTATCTTCATTATTCAGCTCCTCTTGAATCAGCTATTAAAGGTAATTAAGCGATTCATCAAGTCAGTTTCAATTACTGGGAGCTTGACAGCTGCAGATTACAATCAGTAGGGGTGAGCGGAGAGATGGGGAGACCGAGAGAGGGAGGCATCAAAAAGTGAAGAGAGAGAGAGAAAACAGACAACAAGTGCTAACCGATCAGGCACCACGGAGATGGGCAACAAGCTCTCCTGGGTGTCGAGTGCTAATGTATCCACATGCCGGTCCAGGCATGTCCAGGCACCTGTCCACAAAGCAACAGGCTTCATAGTTACCACGCACTCACTTAGCTTTTGCTCCGTCACCAGCTGGCGGTCTTTGATACCACATCAGCTACACTATCATTACTCTGTCATGGACTGGAAGAACTGTAATGTTAATAATGAATAAAACTACTCTTGCCATCATAACAGCAATCACACTACAGACAGGAATAAATCTGCTGCCTAACATGCAGTGCCCACTCGTAATAAAGCTCACATGTAGCATCATAAAACGTCCTCACAGGCACCCCTAATTTATGGGAACCGGTTACCAGCTTGCTTTTTTTTTTTTTTTTAAAGTCAGGTGTGTGTTGGAGCTAAGAGCAAGACAGAACGTGCAGCCATTAGGCTGGTCAAAGGACAGCTTCAATTTATGTTTGGCTGATTAACCCTGCACTCTGCTTGCACAATTTTGCGCATTAGGTTCAGGAATAATTTATCTGGAAGGAACTATTATGCCTCTTAGTTGTCCATTAGAGTCGGGTTTACTACGGTCTTGATGGCTATCATAAGTCATCCGGCACAGGTTGTAATTGCTGGACTAAATACAGAAGAATTGCCCCTATCATAGACTGCTCATCGGGTGTTGAAAATCCAAAAGGGCACCTTTATCCCCAAGCTTCCCTTCATCATTATATCAGCACACTCCGCAAGGTTACTTTCTAATAATTTTAGCAGGATTTAAATGTGAAACACTGGATTGTAATTACATTTTTAAGACCCGGCTCAATCAAATATTACACTTCTCCCACCTAACTTCTATATCTATCTCACATTCACATTTCAATGGAAGATGTGATTAAGTCTGAACCATTCTGAAGGTGAGAGCAGAGCAAATTTATGTCAGGGAATTTCCCATTAAGAATTACATACTTGCATGGGGGTCTATTTACTTTCTGACAGTCTCCAAGTAGAAATGACAGCTGATTTTAACATGCACCATCCTCCTTGCTCTCAGTGTAGACTCCTTGCACTTCACTTGCCTTATATCACATTATCTGCTGTGCACTGTCCACTTGAGACATTCATTTATGAATTAAATATATATTTCTGCAAGCAACGTTACACAAAATAGTAATGATAAAGTAACACCACAGCATATTTTCAGTGTATAATATACTGCTTGGCTTTATGAGTCGTAAATATTCAGTAAAACAATAATAAATAAGCAGTGCATTTAAAGAAGACAAAGGAATGCAGCCTGCAACATAGCCAAAACCCTAAGACGAGGCTCTCAAACTCATAATCAGCCTAAAACAATGCAAAGAGCAGTCATTAAACACTCATATTCCATCTCTTTAGTCTCCTCCATTGTTCTGTATTAATTCAAAAAACGCCTTAAACCAAGAAAGCTTGGTTTACAGCAGCTACGTGTAAATATAGAGTAACTGAAATGTTATCTACTTCCAGTCTACAAGATTTCTTGCTATCAAACTACCAGATGCTTCCTCATTTTGGAGGATGTGCTTTGAAATAGATCTGTCATTGAGCTCCTGAACAGGATGGCATTTGAAGTGAGGGATCGCACCATATGGTGACTGACGGTTTTTAGAGAAGAAGTAAAAACATTCAAACAAAAACCAACAACAACATAAAAGTTTACCTCAACTTCTGACAATGCAAAGCAATATGTCCAATTATATCCAAGTATTCGAAGTCTTGGTAGAAAATTTGAAATCAAATTTGAAAATTTGATCTATTTTTGAACCTGAGCCCCAGTTTTACATCTTTCTAGATTGAAATTAATTGTAGGGACAAACACGTATGTGGAATAGTTCTAGTGCTGAACAAGAACACTAACCAGCAACTGCAAAAGAGCTGCAATGCCATTCCACATGGCAATTATCCACGTAAAAGTGATTGTTTTTGCCACTAACTACTTTCAAGTGTGTGACAACACATAGAACAGATGCATGTAACTGAAGTCTCAAAAAGTCTTACAGGAGGTGACTTGATGGAGGATGTGTGTGAAATAGTTGTGTTAAGTGACACTGGGCATCGCAAACTGTCGTGTTAGCAGTGACCATTTTGACACGTGATCACAACTTCCACTCAGACAAGAGAATTAATCCTTAAATAAGGTGCATTTTCCTGAAGGGAAAGGGTTTTATAAGAACAGAGAAACTTACAGATGTAAGTTATTTTGTTGATCAAACTTCCACCGAGCGAGTGAGTATTAAGGGTTTAATGGATTAAATGGTTTGTCTGCAAAATGTCAGTAAATATTGGAAGCTGTCAACTGTAATTGCTCAAAGTCGAACATAAATTAATCCGATTTTTTGTTTTTTATTCTCCAAAACACAACAAGACACAATCTATAATCAGACAAAGAAAAGCTTGTTTATCTCCTGTTGATTAACTAATCAATTTATTAACTAATCCTTAGAGCTCTAAAGGAGCAGCATGATTATACAGTTTACCTCGTGGTTGTCAACACAGAGGATAACATGATTGCTGCTGCTGTAAGAGCATAAAAACACATAAACCACCGAGGGCTGTCTGTATGTCTTATGGATGAACTGCTTAAACAGTGCGATCAGTTAACAACCAGCTGACCCAGTACATCAGTTCAAACGCAGCCTCCTGATTGTGAATGCAACACAGCTTTTGGTCTCCAAGCATAAGACGTCACCTCTTATAGTTATAGTATTATCTTTCTTTCTTCTTGTTAGACTCTACTATGGATTCAGATTTAGATTAATTAGAGATAAATGTATAGATATAGGAATATGTATTTGTTCATCATTCTGTGTGTTACAATTGTGAGAAACTGCCTAACAGTATTGAAGACCACAGTGTACATTACACAACATCCAACCTAAACTTACATACCTAAATTGGAAGAGGCCCTTCCTTCTGCAGCCCTGTCCTTCAAGCCCTCGGCTATAGCCAGCTGCTGCTCGTGGTACTGCTTGGCCCTCTCCAGATCCTGCATACAGCGGGCAGCATGACCCAGTCCTGCGTAGGCTCTCATCTCGATGGACTTCTCCTCCAGCTCTTGCGCGAGCTCCAGAACGTGAGTATGGTAGGACATGGCCTTGTCAAAGTTGCGGTGATAGTGGTAAGCACTGCCCAGGTTACTATAGGCCCGGGCCTCCTCACGTTTATTTTCTAGGGCCTTGGCAATGCTCAGGTGCTGCTCGTGACACTGGACAGCATTATCAAAGTCTCCCATGGCAATGTAGACGGCTCCCATGTTTCCCAGCTCGCGAGCCTCAGACAGTTGATCTTTGGACTGCTTGGCCAGAAGGACACACTGCTTGTGGCTGGCTAGGGCATTCGGGTAGTCCCCTATGGCTGTATATACATGGCCCAAGCTGCTCAGTGCCATTGAGGCCGCCTAGAGAAAAAGAGAAAGGCAGATACTGAAATAAACAGCAAGATACTAAAATCTATGCAAATGTAAAGAAAACACAAAAACAATTAATTACACCCACATTTGAGCAACAGTGAGTTTTTGTTTTTTGCTTCTACTTCAGACATTCCCCACCCACACCAATATGTCCCTTTACCCAGATGTACTGTAGATCAAATGAGAAAAAGAAAGGAAAGAAGGAAAATCTAAACTCCCCAAATCTCATAGGAGGCTTAGTGCTCAGAGACTGAACAACAAACAAAACCTGATTTGATTTTGTCTTTGGCTGAGCGAGGAGGGGGGTAAAGTGTGATGCAGATCAGCGCAGCAGCAGGCTTGTTTTAAAGCCGCCAGTTTGCCCACTGCAATCACGCTTCGTGGCGCGCCACCACCAACGGAACAAAGACACTGCTAATCAGGAGGGAGAGAATGGGTGTTTTAGCTTCACACCAGAGCTGCGGGCGGCCAACTGACTGACTGCTTTCAAGCTCTCACGCGCTAAAAACACGGAGAACAGAAATAGACTCCAGGCGTTGCCATTTAGTCAGTCTTTCCATTTTTATAACCAACGTCCATCTGTGAAAATGAAATTACAGAAAACACTGGTTATACCTGCAAAATAGGAGGCATTTCAGTATATAAATATAGAGATTTCTAAAAGTTGATTTTTGACCCCCTATATGACACATTCACTGCGAGCTTATTAGCTGTTTATATGGAGGATAAACAGCTGGGAATTAGGGTCAGTTGTCTTTGTGTGAACAGATGTTCAATTACTCATGCAGGGGCATCTAATAAAGCATCTCCTTCCTGAGGTCCCACTCTGCATCCACCAGCCAGGAAGAGGGTTGGAGGGAGGCCAGAGGAAAGGACAGACATCCTGACAGTTAAGGCCACATTAGAGCCCATCCTGGCCTGCGTGCAGCCTCAGCAACAGAAATGACCTGGATCATAACATACCCAGAAAGTCAAAACTGGAAAATTAAAAGTTACAGTTATAGCAAAGGCTGAACTACCCAATGTAGTCGTGAGAAAAGGCAAGGGACCTCCGTGAATTCAATTCGCTTTAACCATTTCCATATTGCTTAACAAATACAAATACGGATGCGATTTAAAGAACTGGAGAGCAGGAGATGGGGTTTTTTGTTTTCTTTTTTTTGCATCGTTCCAGCACCACTTAATGAAAATATTGAGCGCTCTGAATAAATATAAAAGCGAAGAAGATTGCTGAGAAAAAAAAAATCAATACAATCGGACACTCTTGAAAATGCTTATAAAGACAAACATTTTTCTCTGAATCTTTCACACATTCTTTTTTTAATGCACCAATCCAGCGCTATTGTTCCATCATTTCACATAGCTGCTGATGCCTGGAATCAATTACCTGCTGACATAAGGACTTCCAGCAGTTTGCTCAAGTTTAAAGACTCGACAAGGCATTATACAAGCCCAGGGAGGCAATTATCCCTCCGTCACAACTGTTGCTGTTTCATGTTCCCAGATAGCCTATCTAGAGCTGCTCAATTACATGTGCCTTTTGAAGCTTCCCTCCATCTCTCCGATTCAAACTTCAACTCTTCTGAGCAGAAAAACAGAGAGGATTCCTCATTTCTGTCTGTCTTCAACCGGGCGCAGTGGGAGACGGGGGAGAGAAAACGGGGAGTGGGAGGGGGGCACAATCATTCTCCAGTTGAGATGAGTTGCTCTTGTGATCAGTGTCCCTCTAAAGTGAGACTGCAACGCTGCATTTTCTCCTCAGATGGAAGCCAAGATAGGCAGATAATGAGGAGCCAGCCTTCCCAGTTACAGAGGATACACAGCGTTTGGCTCGGTGTTTTTGGACAGTGCTTGGGACCATATGAGTCTTTCTCACTTCTGACTGCAGTCCTCCCCAACACTGCTCATTCTGACTCCCCGCTAGTTACAAAAAATAACACTCAGTCGGGGAAGAGGAATAATGCTGCGTAATTTCTGCCAAATTGACTTCATTCTAATTTGAGTCCATTTCTTTTCTGCACTTATCTTTCCTCCCTCCACATTCTTACGCTCGTCTCCCCCGCTCCGCTCAATTCGTCTGGAGAGTCAGATCTGATTGTGTTTACAGAGTCCAGCCCTTCTCCGGATGTGTGCTGATTTGATTAATCCCAACGCCGTCCATTATAAACTGTTGATAAACCACTGGCTCTTATCAGCAAACACATTTTGCACCAAAGGTCTGCTAATGAAAGGTAAACTAGTTCTGCCCGGGAGAGAGGAGGGAACGAGAGGGATATAGAGGACGGGCTGAGATGACATGTTAATCAGAGATGCTTGGCTCCGTTTTTTCCCCTGACAGGGACAGTAGTTTAGGATTTCTTGCTGGTTTTTCTCTCTCTGACTCCACAACTAAGTATGTTTATATTTTGTAGCACATAAGAGAAATGGCTGCTTTCATAGAACATGCTAGAAGTAATGCATTATACTTTACATAATTAGCCCCTTATGTCATGCAACGAGGCTGCTTTTGATCACTGGCCTTGGTGGTATGCACGTTGTGTGACTCTGAGCCCCTGGTGTGTGTTTTATTTCTTACACTGGAACAGACGAGTGCTGCCCACCACTTCACTGCAGCACTGAGCTGTGTGGTTATGCCTCGCCTTGCAGCTGTGGGACTATAGCTCTTTGAACATCCTCCTTTTTTTCACTTTGGACCTATGAGGTCTGATATACTTTAAACAACCAAGGCTATCATCACACACTGGCAGAGCTTATAGGACAAGCCTGGTTGCCATGGAGATCTAAATAGTTGGATTATGGCTGGCCTTGTAGAGAGACTCCCACTACTATTCTTATAAACATAGGTGTGGGACCTCCTTCTGTGCGAACAAAAATAGGCAAACAAATACAAGGGCGAGTGTACAAACAAGCATCCACTGCTCTGCCTGTTGCTTCTTCAGCTGAACCTGGTGGATGTATCTGTGTCTGGTCAGAGACACGCTTCTTCACAGGTTTGAGCTAAAGAAGAAATCACAAAGGTCTGAAGGCTAAACTTGCTATATTGGCTTAAACATAAGTGCACATAGCATAAAAGTGATAGAATTAGAGGTCAGTAAGGTGTAAGATGTTAAAGTTTACCCTCTGTCCAAAAGGCATGTGCTGCAGCAGGGCAGAGTAGCTCCTATTTTAGTAAAGTCTTATTAATGGTATTATACGGAAGAGGCGAGGAGTAATCAGAAGAAGAAAAGTAGTCCAATATGCCCATTTAAAAAGCCCAATGTTACGTATTTAAATGACACATTTGAGTGCTTGCCATTCATTATATGTGTAAAACACAAGTCAACTTTATTTATATAGCACCAAACAACGACTTGTTAGAGAGGGAACCCCAACAATCAGACAACGGCAGCGACAGCGGGAAGGAAAAACTCCCTTTTAACAGGAAAGAATGTCCAGCCATCTGCAGTGACCGGTTGGGTGTGAGGGAAGGGAGACAGAACAAGAGATACACAAGCTAAATAAACAAATATTCATTTTAAAGAAGCTCGAACCAGCAAAAATCTGTGTCAGCTGTGTTTGATAAAAGCTACCATGTATCGAGTATACGCCATCATTAACTTCCTGGGTTAACCCAGGCATGAAACAAGCATCTGAAGTGATACCAGTCACTTCAAAAAGGTGACTAGTGTGACTGAGAACATTTGCAACACCACACGCTCGCACCTCAATGTATCCTCCCGCAAAACGCATGCACACAGGAACAGCTGTCTAATTAAAAGGCAGTGCAGAGGGAAGGTGAGGAGGACCATGCACCAGTGTTTCCCTTAACGAGCTGGGCTCAGGCAGCAACAGGAGCCTGGCTGGCAGGGAACAGAACCACACACTGGAGGGAGCGGGGGGGGGTGCAGGGAAGAGCAGAGTGGGAGGAGGAGGAGGAATGGGGCCTGATAAAAGGCTATGGAAGAGATTGTGTTTGAAGGATGAGAGAAGAGAATGCTGGAGACGTCCCCAGGGCGAGGATGTCTTTAGATCTGAATTCACCTGCAGAGATGCATTTTGACAAAAAAGAAAACATCTCAACAGTAATAAACGGAACAGACCAGTCACAGATGCTCTCAAAGGAACTTGAACGAGGCTTTTTAAAGGTGAGCGTTCTTGTCTATGCATGCAAAAAAAATAAACGAAACAAAACAACAACGAAAAACAAAAACACATATATGCATGTATGAAAAAACAAGAGAGAAAAAGGGGGGAACATAAAGGAGGCACGCTGGCGACGTCACTCTGGAGGACTGGGGGTGGGGATTTGTATGATAAAATATTCATCTGGTTTTATGGGTGTATATTCCATTCTCTTTCCTCGCTCGGTGTTTGCACACAGATATGGATCCTATGGGAGCCACCATTAGATCAGCCAAATGACTGCCTCTCTGCCATATCAGAACCTTCTGTTTTTTTAAGCAGGCAAATGCTCTGCTTTGCCAAGCGAGGGCAGGTACAGCTGTGCCTGATTGCTCGCTTTCACACACGCATTTGTGAGCTTACACAAACAGATACACACACACATATCGAACGCACACAAGTCCACGGTGGCTGATAAACTCGCTGCATTCCAAGCTCAATTCAACGTTGCATCTTCGGAGCCAAATTTCAGCCCCGTTTCTATTTTCCTTTCCAACTTTGAAAATAACATTCATAAAAGTCATAACTCTGTTGCTTCCAGAATTGCAAATCAATGAAAGTATCATCAACTGCGCCTTTGTGGGAATGTTATTTGTTTTTGTCTGAGAAGAAAAGAAATACAGACATAATTTTGGTGGCTGCCAATTACGTTAATCAATCACCAGAGCTGATTTGATCTATTCAGACTGAAGAGATACCAGCGGAGCCACTTGTTTTTCTCTGACCTGTGTAACCTCCAGCGTGTAGATGAATGACGCCAGAGGTAGGAAGGTTAATAATTCCTTTAGCCTTCAATGGACATGTGCACAAAGGATTGATTGTCACTA